CAAACACACACACTACAAACGAGACGCAGATATTCAGGTCGAGGTCAACAAATCCTGGCTAGTTTTAAGGTATATGGTTGGTTACATTTTTAATCAGCTGAAATAGGGGGAAAGGTTTTTTTCAAAGCAAGACTGTTTTTAAACATGTCTGGCTTGGTCATTTGATGACCCACTGGATTGTGCCGTCTTTGATTTCTAATAGGGAAGAAAAAAAGGCACGTGGGAGCTTATGTGTCCCTGTGTTTTTATTCACACCTGGTGGGGCAGAGGTGAAGGAGAAAGAACATACTGTGTTCTCCTTCTACATCTCCCTGCTCTCATTCAGAAAGAAAAGAAACAGAGAGTTTTAAGTTTTTAAAATTAAAAGGTGAACTTGAACAATGGCAGCCTTGAGCTCCAGAGAGGTCAAGGACACGGAAGGTGCTCCCTGGTTAACGGGCAAGACGGCACCCCGTGCTGGTGCGGAGCGTCCTGGACTGAGTTCCCGCAGGCGGGGATTCGTCTGCTTTTTGCTCACCACGGTACGTGCCGTGCATGGCATAAAATAGGTGCTCAGTGAATATTTGTTAGAAAAGGAAATTATACGTGTTAATCCAAAGTGGATTTTAGCTCTAGCGCTAGGACACCTCTCTGTCCCCACTGCCCCCATCACCTCTCTTCTCTGGTCCTGCGCAAGGCCCCCTTTGAGTTACCACTCAGGCCCACCCTGATTTCACAGGAAGGGCTGGTCACGTGGAGCGAGACTGGGTGGGTCGGGAAGGTGAGCAGGAGGAGGGAAAAGTCAGATGCACCTGCAGCTGACCTTTGCTGTTTGGAAGAAACGCTGACCTATTTTCAGCACCAACAACAAATAATCATGTCGGGCTCCAGCCATCTGGCCGTTTGACATGGATCAGAGGACGTCTAAGAAGAAAGCAGACGTCTGAAACAAAAGCGACCTGTTCCACACACACAGGCTGGATGGACAGGCACGAAGGTGAGCTCACCCCAGTTACTGCTGCTTGAGTCGAAAGGAACAACTCAGGTGAGACTGGAGGCATAAACAAGGCCGAGATGCGTGATTGCTGAGAAGGGGAGCCCCAGCATGAGCCCTTTTGGGGTCAGAGGGTGGGAGAAACCCAGACTGGGAAAACCCACCCGGGTGTAGAGGAGACGGGGCTTCCTGAGGTACAGCGATCAGGAATAAATACTTAGAGCCGTGGCCACTCCCAGCTAAACACTGCTAGGCCAGCTTCCCTCACTTCTGTGGGAAGCTTCTAGGCTTCCAGCCCCACTGGAGAACTCTCTCTCCATGCCTGTCTCTCTAGAAGTGACCTTTGAAAGTTTCTTCTTTAGCACTGTGTTTTCCAAGAACTTGGGTCAGAGAGAAGAGTCAGACGTCTGGGGTGAAAGGAGCAGTTTGCGCTGTTCCCTGCATGTCCCCGGACACGGCTCTCTTCTTCCCCTTTCACTGCCAGGTTCGAAACCTGCCGGGCCAGCCCAGGGCTGGGAAACGGTAGCTAACCTGTGGGTCAGGGCTCCCAGCACTCACTGTTCGCTAACTAGCAAAATTGAAGGGAGCAGTTGGCTCCCTTGACCCAAGAAGTAAATTGTGCCCTGGGTCACTGTCAGGCCCCTGCTGGGCTGCCATCCTACGGGGCAGTCTCTTTTGGCTCAGGTGCCTTTCTTGAAGGAACTGGTTTTGAATCCTAGATGAAGGTTGATCCCAAATATGTCTGTTACAGGAAGTAAGGGACTCCTCTAAAGATTTCCTCAAAGGGTCAGATCCTGGAGAATTTGGATTCTATTCATGGCCTCAGAGAACTTATCCCAGGCACCGTTGGCGCTCCAGGAATCAACACAAGAGTGTGAGGCCCTGCTGCTTCACACGGACTCGGTTTCCTGCTGACTGGTGAGTCCTACACTCCGGCCAGCCCTAGAATTCAGCTCATCCTGTGATCCCAATGCGTTGGCAGGAAAGCTACTCAAAGTGTCCCAGAGACTTGGCGGCTGCCCAATGAAACCAGCACGAAAGCTCTTGCCAAAACCTCACCCAGCTTTAAGTATTTGGGTAGCAACAGCAAAGCTGAGATTCTCCAAAAGTGAAGATGACACAAGCTAGGGCTTGTCTGGCCTCTCCACAGGGTGAGAGGGCAATCAGGCCCCTGCTGCCAAACATCACCTACGAAAAGTTGTCAAAATCCCAGAGAAGCAGAGGCGTCTTTGCTTTCTCTTGGGAAGGGCCCCGTGTGCTTCCTCGGGTGTCCGTTCCCCAGTCCTTGAACATGTACGTTCCCATGAGGCCTCCAGAAAAGGCTCTGCCAGGACCGCGCTTGGCTTTGCGGTGGCCAGCGTCCAGCGTCCGGCACTGAAGATGTGGTTAATAGCTAGACCTCGCTCAAGCCATGTGCAGCCCGGCCTTTGTAACACGTTGCAGCGTGAGCTCATTTCTCTCGCAGACAAGTTGTGGAAGCTTGATCGTGGGAGGACGAGTTACCAAAACCTGTGCTTTGTTATTTCGTGTTTGTGACCCAGGCCAGCCAAATTGAAGCCGAGTCCCTTCTCTAGGAAGGTACCCAGATGGTGGAAGTGTCACACTCCGTGGGGTGTCTTAACTGGACAACGGAGGACAGCACTGCCACGTGTCCTAACAGTGTAAGAGTGACCCTTGGCACCAGGGTAAGAAAAATCCAAGCAACACACACACACAGCCTCTAACATCTCGTCAGGACGCGGTGCAAAAGGCACGAGTTGGGTGCCCCGTGACATGCGCTGCCCAGAAGGCAGGAAGGAGAATGGGTCAAGTGATGAGGTCTACTCGTCGTCCTGATCTTGGTTTTGATTAAAGGCAGTTTTGAACTAAGAGATCCAAGCCTTCAGGTTTTATAGGACGCTCAGGGAAATTTTTGAGGGCTTAAAAAACGGGGGGAGGGGAGTGCTGGGCAGAAAGGAAACGGAAACTGAGCGCAAGACACAGGAGCCGCAAAGCTGGAGTCATGATACCTGGTGAGTCATTGCGAAGTTTCCTGTGGGGGGGGCCCTCTGAAACAGAGAGAGAGAACCCCCGGGGGTTACTGTCGGCACCGGGCAGCAGCCTGATTAAGCACGTTTTTAACTGTTAAAGGCATTTGCTTCACTTCAGTCGTTAAAGGCACTTTCAAGTCAGCCTTGGAGGCGTGAAGCATCTGAAGGCAAGAGCTCTTGGCGAGTCCGGCACACCCAAGGACAAGCGGCCTTTTCAATTAAAGGAGAACTTCTGTCCTTCAGAGCTGCTTTTAAGAACCACCCATAAACCTCTTCATTGCATACCTGTTCAGGAAGGTCAAGGCATTTGACAACCTAGTCCAAGAGGTCAGTGTTGGAACAATATTACTATTACGTGGTCTTTGTTAGCTCTCGTGCCTTTAGCAAGAAGGTTGAGGCAGGTGCCCTTTGCACCTCAGCTGACTGGCAGATGGCAGGTGCCTGGGCCAGGCTTGAGAGAGGGCTTGTGTTGGGATTTATGGGGCCGGATTTATGAACTGTGTGAAACCTGCTTTGCAATCCCTTATTGGCTGAGGAGCTGGCTAGGCTTGCGAACCTCCCTCGGTACTCTAGTGCCCGATTTTTTTTGTGTGTGCACCTAGAAGACTCAAAGAAGACAGGGGGGTAGGACAGGTCTTCCACCTGCATTGTGTATGTGTTCATTTGGGGACTGGCAAAAATGGTTTGTTCCATACTGGCCTGCACTACCCAAGAAGGGTCAGATGTCTGGGGCAGAACCAGTAGGGGATGTTCTGTGTGTGCTGAAAGGACAGCACCAGGATAGAGAGGCAGGGTGGCTGTGTCCCCACTACTCAGCCCAGCCACTCGGAGAGGCATGGTTGAGAACAGACTGCGAGGGGCCTGCGTGGAAGGAGGACACCCATGAGGAGGAGACTATGACATTTCTCCAGGTGAGAGGCAACAGCTTGAAGCGGGGGGGCCAGGGGGCCGGAAGTGGCTGGATTCTGGCTGGATGGTATTCTTAGGCGAACATAGACCAGGTTTGCCCACAGACAGGATGTGGGGTGTAAGGGAGAGAGAAACAAAGAATGACCACGAGGTTTGTGGTCTGAGCTGGTGGCAACTCCATCATTCCAGCTGCCGAGCTGGGAGGACTGTGAGCAGAGCCAGTTTGGGGGTGAAGAGGTTCCGTCTGGGCTTAGGGTGCAACATGGGAGGTGTGAGCTGCGCATTAGACGTGCTGGTGGGAACTGGGTCTGGGGTTCTGGGGAGAAGTTTGGGCTGGAGATCTGAACTGAGAGTCATTAGCTGCAGGTGGAATTCTAAAGCCATGGGACTGGTTGAGATCACCTGGGGAGGGAGAGAACGATGAAAGGAGAACCGAGACAGCGCCCTGGGGTGGTCCACCGGCAGGCAGGTTTCGAGATGAGGAACCAGCAGGAGATGGAGAAAGACAGCCAGAAGGGGAGGGAGGGAATCCAGGCGGGGGGTGTCTGGTTAGCCCAGTGACCAAAGCGTGTCGAGCAGGAGTGATGGGCCACGCTGAGTGAAGTGAGCGCTGGCCACGGGTGTCACCACGGCCAGGCGTCAGGGAACAGTGGCAGGGGGACCTCCAGGAGCTTTTCTCATGGAGTTTTGTGGTAAAGGGCAGCAGGGAAACGGGACTAGAGGTTTCCCAGCTGATGAAACAAGATAGAAAACATTGCTAGGGAGGAAGGGCAGGATTTCTGGAGTGTGTGTGGGTCTGATGGAGGCTCTGACCTCAGTCAGTGCTGGACAGCTAAGCACAGAAATGGGGAAAGAGTCAAACGAGTACAGGTCTGGGGGTGGGTAGAGGGGCCACGGGAACGTGTGCACGGTTTTGTGATCGTTCCTGCTTTGCGGTCATGGGAAGTAAGGTCATCTGCTGAGAGTGAGCAGCTGAGGGAGGGGCGTGGGGGGTCCGGCGGCACTGCGAGGCCTGCTCCATGGTCAGGCTCAGCTCCTAGCGCAGGAGGCGCGTTGCGCTGCGGCAGAGGTGGAGAGTTGGGTTCCTCTGGGGTTGTGTTTTCACCAAGGGAACACAGCAGAGCAAGGTGGGGCACCGACGAAGACATGAAAGGGGGGACTGCGTGGCCGGCCCTGGGCTTGGAGCTGGGAAAGGAGGACCGTGTCAGTGGTGTGGGGACCCTGTGGGGCCACTGGTCATGCCCATGGGAGTGGCAAGATCACCAAGAAGACCAAGGAATTGAGAGGCTGGACCCCCACTGGTTATTGAGATCACAGAGAAGAGCGAAGAGTGGTGTGGGAGACAGGATGCCTGGAGCTCAGACCTCCAGGGAGCAAGCAGGCAGGCGGGCACGGCGGAGGAAGCCTCCCTGGGGAGCCAGGGAGCCCCCAAGGTGCAAGGAGGGGGGAGAGAACACAGCCCCCGCTCCAGAAAGGGCAGGCGTTCTTAGCCCAGGGGGTTTCTAGCAACATCTGGAGACAGTTTTGGTGGTCACATTGCAGTTTTCGGCGGATACTACTGAATGTGGGCGGAGGCTGGGGTGCGGCTAAACGTCCTGCAGGGGACGGCCCCCACGGCAAAGACTGACCCAGCCCACAATGTTAGGAATGCGAGAAAGAAAGAGAATGTTCAGGAAAGAGGTTAAGGAGAAGAGAGCATTTTGCAATGAAGAAATGATTTCCAGAGAGAGTGGGCTGGTGTCTCCTCCTCCCTGGGAGGACGGGACAGGAGATGTTCAAGAAACCAGAAGGTAAGGGCCCCCGCCTGATCTGGGCCAGCTCGGGTGCCTGTCCTGCAGTAGCCCAGCCGTGAAGGAAGAGCAGGAAGGAGCCGAGGAAGGAAGTGAGGGCTTTGGGGACAGGGAGCCTCCTGCTCGATTCATTGACTCACGGGGAGCAGCGCAAACCGACCGGAGCCCCAGCCCCAGGCCTCCCCTCCGGCCAGGGAGTCGGGGCCCTCCTGGACCACGGGCGCCTCACCTGAGCTTGCTCTTGAGCGCGTTCACCTCACGGCCCATGGCCTCATTGCTCTCCGTGGCCTCGTCCAGCTCACGCTGCAGCTTCCTGCGGTTGGCGTTGATGCGCTGGGACTCCTCCTCTGCCTCCTCCAGCTGCCGCTTGAGCTGCTTGACCCTGGCGTTTCCTTTCTCTGCCTGTCACAAAGAGGGCAGGGGGTCAGGCGAGGCCCTGTGGGGGCCAGGCGCTGGGAGGGGCTGGGCAGCCGGGGCTACCTGCTCCTTGTACTGCTCGGCCATCTTCCGCTCGTCCTCCACCTGCAGCAGGACTTCCTTCAGCTTCTTGTCCCTCTGCTTCAGCGACTTGGTGGCCGCCTGTTTCTCTCTGTGCACAGTGGGGAAAACAGGCAGTTTCAGATTGGGATGGCACCCCATGCAGTGGGCGCCCTCGGCGAGCACCTTCCCTGAACCCCAGATGAGGACTCGGGCCGAGGATCAGTCAGACGGTGGAATAGGACTGGGCCATGGGAAGGAATAAAGTGCTAGTGTTGCGCCGTGACATAGTGAAAATGTGCTCAGTGACAGACGGACACCCAGGCCCCGTCGTGCAATTCCATTTGTACCAAACGTCCAGAACAGGCAAATCCAGAGAGGCAGTTTGCCAGTGCCTCGGGGGGTTGAGGGGGTTGGCTAAAGGGTTTGGGGTTTCTTTTTGAAGGGATGAAAGTGTTCTCGAATCGACAGTGGTGATCATTTTATATATCTGTAAATATACTGAAAGCCATTGAATTGTATACTTTAAATGGGTGAGTTACAGGGTATGTGAATTATCAATAAAACGACAACCAAAGAAACGAATGGGTCAGAATCCTTGAAATCCAGCGGTCACAGATACGCTGTGACTTATGCCTCAGTGACTCCTGATTAAGGTGAGACGCCTTCCCGTGCGTGCGGGGCGATGGTCGGACTGCTGGTGTATCTGCTAGCATGGTGCCCCTGCAGACCGAGGGTGGGGAAGGCCGGCTGATGGCAGGGACTGTTGCGACGCTAACAGCAGCTCACATTTTCAGTGCTTGCTTAGGCCAGGCCCTGGCACAGCACTGTGTTGTGTTCTCATCCAGTTCTCACAGCACACCTCAGTGTGGGCACCACTGAGCTTGTTTTCCTCTGACATCCCTAATGTCTCACTGCTGGTCACCAACAAGCAAGCGGGGACTGGAACTCCAGTCTTGCGTACCTGGCCTCCTGCTCAACCTGCTCCTCTAGCTGGGCGATCTTGGCCTCCAGAGACGCGATGGTGGACTTGAACTTGGACCTGACCGCCCCCTCCATCTCCTGGAGCTTGCTCCGGAGCTCCTTGTTCTGCCGCTCGAGCTGCTGCCTGGCGCTCTCGTTCTTCTGCGCTGCGCTGCGCTCCGTGGCCAGCTCGTTGTTGAGCTGCTCAGCCTGGGGAGGAGGGTGAAGGCATGAGGTGGAAGCCCAGGGCAGTGCACTGAGACCAGGAGCCTTCTCCTGCCACCTCCAGCCTTGGCCAGCCTCTGCACGCGCCCCTGGGTCCCGGGTGCCCCCCACCTCCTTTATCCTCCAAGACTCGGCTCAAGAGCCAGCCCTGCCAGAATTGCCCTAGTGCCACCCAGGCTGCGTAAGCGGCCAGTCCCACGCTGCCCTCTCTGTCCTGGAGGTGTCTGGTCCCGTGCCTGGTCCCCACCCTGCACTGTGAGGGGCTTCGGGTCACACGATGGTCCCCAGCACCCACCGTCGAGCTGGCCCTCAGTAAAGTCTTTACGCAGTTGCTCGCGGAGGGCTCACTGTCAAGAGGCCAGGGCTCAGGGCTGGGGACTGCACTGAAGGAGCAGCCCAAGGGATGCTCCAGGCATATCGCAGACATGCCCTGGCCCGCAAATGGCAAATGAGACGCAGGGCGCCCAGCTGACAGGCGGAGTGGGGCAAGGGTGCTGGGTCACTACCGTCAGATCTCCTCCCCCGCTCCCCCCGCACACAGGAAGCCGCGACACGTGCCGCTGAACCAGCGCTGGACTTTAGAACCAGACCCTGTTACTTGCGAGAGCTGGGGCGGAGTTGCTGTGGTGCCTGGGGCCCCCTTGCCCTCACCTGCTGCGTGGCTTTGCGCACGCGGTCGCTCATGGCCTCCATGTTGCCCTGTTCCTCCTCCAGCTCCTCCTCCAGCTGGGCGATCCGGGCCTCCAGGCGCCGCTTCTCGTCCTGAAGTGTGTTCCTGGGGGAGTCACAGCCGTGGTGGGGGCCTCTACCTCCCCCAGCTTAGAAAACACCCCTCTCCTTGGAGAAGTGATACCTCAGGGTTGCCTCATTCTCTCACGGTGAAACTGAGTCACAGCAGTGTGGAGCCAGGACTGGGCTCTGGACCAGCTCTCTCCTCCCCGATGCTTCCCAGCCCCCCCTCCACCCAGAATAAATGGAACTGGCCACGGTCCCAGTGAAAACCCTGAGGAACAAACCTGTCGCCACCGTGGATCTGTCCCATTCCTGAGCTCAGGTGAGGGCTCTGCCATCATCGGCATTAAAATGGGGGTCCGGGATGCCTCTGCCTGTCCTCTGAGTCTAGGACACCCCCCTCTTCGTCCCCATGTGGCTCCCTACCTTCCCGACAGGCTGCTGGCCAGCTCCTCCGCCAGCTCCTCCTTCTCCTGGTCCGCCTGCTTGCGCGCCCGCTCGGCCGCCGCGAGGTCCTGGGGTGGGGGGCAGGGGGAGGAAGATTGCTGTCTGCCAGGGCTAGGCCACGCTCCACCAAGAGTCCACCCTGCTCCTGTCACCGGGCCGTGCAGTCTCTACAGCCACCCTTGAAAATGCAGTTTCCTCCTCTGAGCTCAGAGGAGACCCCACAAATACATCAGAGGAGACAGGCAGGTGTCTGTCCATGCTCTTGCTAGGGGTCCACCCATCTGGAACGGCGGAGGGGAAGAAATCTGGCTGCGCAGACCTGGGCTGCCGAGGGTGGCTACCACAGTGTCCCCATCTGGGCTTTCCCAGCAAGAGGAAGGCTTTACCTCTTGTAGCTGCATGAGGTCTGCTTCTAAGCTCTTGGCCTTCTTCTCGTTCTCCTTGGCCGTGGCGAAGATCTCATCTCTGGAGGCGCGGGCGTCTTCCAGCTCTCTCTGGAAGTCCTTCATCTGAGCCTGCGTGAGTCGACAGCAAGGGTGAGCGAAGATGCCCCTACTCACCAAGTTCTCTGCCCGGCCGAGGTTTCTGCAGCCGATCCCAGAGAAGGCCCCGTTGCACGGGCACGGCCCTCAGCCTCAGGTGGCCAGTGGTGCCTGAGGACACTGTTCAGATGGGCTCAGAAGACCTGCCTGAGAAGCTGAACCCTGATGTAGTCTGAGGGCAGCAGCCAGGGCGGGAAACAGCCACCAAAACCTAAACAATGAAGGAAAAGACCCCAGCTCCACTGACACCGACGGCAGAGGTCGGCCTGCTTCTTGGAACCTGCTCTGCCGACCACCTGGCCTTGGGGGGGCCGTGCCCTCCCTCTGCCCATGCCCGGAGCTCGAGGCGTCACCCACCTGCAGTTTCCGAAGCTGCTTGATGGCCTCCTCTCTCCCCTTGCTGGCTGAGTCGGCCTGAAGCTCCAGGTCTTTCAGTTCCCCTTCCAGCTTCTTCTTGGCCGCCACCGCCAGGGCACGCTGCTTGCGCTCGTCTTCCAGTTCCGTCTCGTACTCGTGGAGCTGAGTGAGGAAAGACGTGCGCTGCCCGGCTGCCCCGAGAAGTCCCTTACGCCACTCCGCCAGCGCTTGGCGGCACTCCGTCCCCAGCACAGCCCCTGCGCGGTGGGCTTCTCATCCCCAGGTTGCAGGAGAGAAAACCGTCCCCACGCAGCCCGAGCGTGGTGGGGGGAGGAGGGAAATGGGCCACTGACGCCCCCCACCCTCCCCCGCGGGGCTCACCTGCCTCTGCAGCTGCCGCCGCTTTTCCTCATTCTGCTCATCCCGGGCCTGGAGGTCTCTCTCGAACTGGCCCTTGAGGGCCTGCATGTTGACCTCCAGCCGCAGCTTGGCATCCTCGGTGGCCTGCAGCTCGTCCTCCAGCTCTTCCAGCTGCGTCTTCATCTCCTCCATCTGGGTCTCCAGGGCCCGCTTGGACTTCTCCAGCTCATGGACCTGGCCGAGTGGCAGCGCCTTCCCGTGAGGCTGGGCTCCGCAAAGGCGCCCGAGAAACCCGCGGCCAGAGGCGGCTCGTTAGGGGCTCCCTCGGGATGCGTGTCCGGAGCGGAGACGGCCCCCAAGAGCTCGGACACGAGCCTTCCCCTCCGACCCGCCCTCCCCACCTTTGCACCTGCCTGGGGAGCTGCCGCCTTCCATTCCTCATCGTCACTCCCGGGAAAGTGGGAAACTCAGGGTGGGTCGGTGACACGGGGACGGGCAAAGACAGAGCCACTTACGTTCTTGCCCACGTCATCCTTGGAGCTGACCAGATCCTCCATCTCGGCCTTGAGCATCTTGTTGGCCCTCTCGAGTTCCTCTTTGGCTTCCAAGGCCTCTTCCAGGGCTCGAGCCAGGGACAAGGCCTTGGTTTCCTTCTCCCTGGCTTCCGCCTCCGCTCTGTCCCTCTCGTCCGCGTATTTGGAAGAGATGTTTTTCTCTTCGGCTAACAACTACAAGACAACAGAAGACCCAGGGGTGACTTCTCGCCATATCCAAAGTTTATTGTCACTGAATTGCAGATACGGAGCAGAAGCCTTGCGCCCGACTGCATTCATCCGGGTGCAGACACACGCGACTTCGATTATCTGCAGGAGTTGTTTATAAGGCTCTCGCTTTCTGACTTCTAGATCGTTCTGCTGTAGAGCCAGAAAGCACAGCTGGGTCCTCGTGCTTTGAAACCACTAAAGCTGCCCACGTTGGTTAGAACATGCTGCTACTGAGGTCGGAGTGACATTCAGTCCTGCCAGAGGCCAGTTGTTCTTTTGTAGTTTCATGGCCACGAGCAGCTATCTCACAAATGTGCCCTGTGAGCCACGGTGGGGAAAGGGTAGGTGTGGGTGGGCCTGTACACACTTAGCTCTCTGCCTGGGAAAGCAACCCAGAGAACGTTCCATACGAACCCTCGTCTCTTTAGAGAGACAGAGCCGTATATTATAAATTGTAACATCCAACACCCAGACTTCCAGAATTCAGCAAAGACCGGTGAGTCACAGGGACCTCCAAACAGCACGGTCAACACAAAAATCCTACACTACGTAGGATACTGCACTACACTGTTTTTAGAATAACCTTGAGTCCCCTGTAAACGAAATCATATTTACTAAATATGGGTGACATGTATTCAAAGTTGGTACTGAGGGGTGTGCGTCGCATATGGGTATATGCGCTTTTCAGAACTTGGTTGAGTATACGCTTAAGATCTGTGCATTTCGTTGTATGTAAATTTTACCTCAAAAGCAGCAAAATTATATTTATGAAATGAACTCTAGTTAATATGCAGTGCTGAGGTGTGGAAGGGGAAGTGTACGGATGTCTGTAATTTCCTTTGAAACGTGCCCAAAGGACACATTGGATAGGGGATTCAGCCTTATAAATAAATATGTGATTAAAAACATACAGTCAAATATTAGAGACTGAATCCAGGTGGTGACTATGTAGGTGTTCACTGTACAATTCCTGAAACTGCTGTGGGCTTGAAATTATACATAATGAAATGTTGGAAAAGTGGTATTTGGAGGGGAGAAAATGAATAGCTTGGATTACTCAATAGGTAGTTAATAAATACTTGTTGAGTGAATAAATGAACCTCACATCAGGGCTAGAAACTATGGCATCGCTGTGTATGCCGGTGGCCGTCGTGATGGTGGCGGCACCTAGAAAAGTCACTGTCATTGAGGCTGCTGCGCTGCCCTCACTGTGCTGTGGTGGCCTCAGTGTTCTGTGGCCTCCCAAAGCCAGACAAGGTAGCCTTCCATTGCTTCCAGCAAAGGGGGGATGGGACACAGACACACAGCAGCCACGCCTGGTGCCACGCAGACCTGACGCCCCCAGCCAGTGTCTGGGAAGGCGGGGAACACCCCAAGGCCCACCACGCCTGGTGCCACGCAGACCTGACGCCCCCAGCCAGTGTCTGGGAAGGCGGGGAACACCCCAAGGCCCACCTGATCAAACTTCTTCTGCTTCTTTTCCAGGTTGGACACCAGTTGCCGCTGGTTGTCCAAATCGACGACCAGGTCGTCCAGCTCCTGCTGAAGCCTGTTCTTGGTCTTTTCCAGTTTGTCATAAGCAGCTGCCTTCTCTTCGTACTGCTGGGTGAGGTTTTCGATTTCCTTCTGGAACCTCTTCTTACCCTCTTCCATGACTTCCACGGTGCTGGCAAAGTCCTGCAGCTTCTTCTTCGAGTCCGAGAGCTGAAATGGCAGCGTCCGGGGTCAGGTGAGAGGAGGGCCATGAGTGGCCCCATCCCTGCCCCCCAGGCCCTGAGAAGTGGAGGCCACCTTCTCCTCGTTGGAGAAACCCAACAGCATGGGGAGCCGGCCAGCCAAGCGCCGTGGTGCCGGCGCTCACCCCCGGCAGAGCCCCTGATCACACGCCAGGGCTCCAGGCCCAAAGAGGAAGTCGAGGGTCCCATGACCGAAGCCAGGACGCGTGGCAGGCACCTGGATGTTGAGGGTGGAGATGTGGCGCTCCAGGTTCTGCTTGGCCTCCATCTCCTCGTCCAGCTGGTCCTGCAGACTGTTCCTCTCCTCTTCCAGCTGGCGCAGCTTGGTGGACACGTTGAGCTTCTGCCGGGTTTCCTCTTGAAGCAGCTCCTACAAAAGGGACACGCGGAGGTCCCAGGGACCCACCTGAGGGAGGCTGCACCCCAGGTCCACTGGATGATGGGGCAGGACGCTCACCTGGGTGTCCTGGAGCTGGGACCCGAGGGACGCCACGTCCTTGGCCAGTTTGATGGCCTTGCCCTCCGCCTCGTTGAGCATCCCCGTGACACTCTCCACTTCATTCTGAGGGTGCAGAGAGACTGGTTCGTCAAAACCTCTAGGACGGGATCCTCGTTAAGCAAGAGGAGCCCTTTTTACCCAAAACACGCCGTACCCTCGTAGGCAAGGACTTGTGGTGTCCACTGATTGAGAAAATACCCGCGAAGTATGGGACCCTGATGATAACACTGTGGCCCCGAAGGGAAGTCCATAGCCACACGCCGGGACCCCTGGCCCTGGACTCTGTGGTTCTAAGAACCCATTACAGCCACAACTGTATCGACTAGGCCCTGAGCCCACTGGGCGGATCCTGGGTCTCTGCCAAGGTTGGCAGAGATGAAGCCGTGGGTCCGAGGGATGCTCTGGGCTGGTCCACGCCCTAGGGCTGGAGGGGAGAATGCGGGACGGGACTTGACAGTCCTAGAGGTGCTGTCCCCAGCACCCCCTTCCTCACCCCTGCTGTCTACCCTTTCACTGACCCTTAGGGCCAAAATCAAAGACGCAGACCCGAAAGGTAAGAAGCCGCCTACACATTCTCTGCCTTCTAGTCCAGCCCCTGGTGTCTCTGAGCAGGTCCTCTTGGAGATTCCAGCCTACCCTCCCTCTCCTCCCATTGCCAGTGAGGATACGGGCGATCTCGACTCGACTCTTCCAAGACATTGCTGGCATTAGGGCAGCAAAACGTGGAAAAAAAATCACACTCAGTGCTTCCCCTGCCCCTTGGTCCCAGGCTGAGAGCACATTAAGTATTTATCCAAAGTCTGGCCATATCCCATGAACGGAAACTCAGGCCAAATGACTATTCTGAGCTCAGTAAGACCAAAGATAAACAGACCATGTCTTTCATCAGCTTAAAACCCTTCAGTGGCTTGGCATCACTCGAAGTGAAGCCCAGCATACGCGTGATAGGGCCTTGAAGGCCATGCGTCACCTGTTGACAGCCTCCTTCTCCAGTCCCACTCTGTGGCATGTCCCTTCCCACCCCCTGCAACTCAGCACTGCAGTTATACTAGCCTTACCTGTCTCTTCTCACCTCCACTAACCACTGGGCCTTTGCACATCCCGTCCCCTCTGCCCAGAAGACTTCTATTTATCCATCAGATTATCCATCTTCCTGAGGGAGGCCTTTCCTGACTCTTGCCCCAGGCCAGGCCCCCTGGTTATTTATGGCATCATGTGTCTCACCCTTTCCCACGTAATTTTACGCTCATTTGTGCGATTTATTAATGTCTTTCCCCCGACCCCTGGACTGGACATCTACTGGGGCAGGGACAGTGTCCATTATGTTCCTTACTGTTCCATCTCAGGATTGAGCACAGTGCCTGGCATACAGCAGGTGCTCAATAAATACTTGTGAAATGAGCAGACGAAGGTTTTTGAAGATTAAATGGAACAGGGGGAGCGTCTCCGTCGCTCAAGGAATGAAACTGGAGGAAACGACTTGCTTTGCAGCGAGAGCACCCTGGGCTAGCTGGGAAGAGCCTTCTCCCTGCAGAGCTGGGGACTCACCTGCAGCTTGTGGACCTTGTCGTTGAGCTCCGCCCGGGCCCGCTCCCCGTCGCTGCACTTGGACTGCAGCTCCTGCAGCTGCACCTCCAGCTTCTTCTTCTTGTGCTCCACCTCCTGCTTCGCCTGGCCCAGCACCCGCAGCTCGCCCGCCAGCTCCGCGTTCTCCTTCTCCAGCGCCTGCTTGTTCTTGTCCAGGTTGGCCTTGGCCTGGCCGGGGAAGCAGAGCGGAGGGACGGCTGTGCGGGAGTGTTCTCCCATGGGAAGCGCCTTCCTTCCCTCCTCAGGTAGTTCCAGGGACCTTGCTCAGCGCCTCAGGGGAGGGACCCAGCAGGTCGGGGACACACCATCTGGATTCTGTTTCCCCAAAGCTCGGGGCTTGCAAACCAGCATCCCGTGAGCTGCGTCCAGCCTGCTGTCGTGTCCCCGGGGACCCATTCAGTACTTGTAACAAAATTAGTTGCCAACATTTTAATAAATTTCACATAAAAATCTGGACTCCCAGCTTCTCTTTTTAAAACTCTAATGTTCTATATCACGACTGTGATGGTGGTTATGCAAATGTATACACTTCTTAAAATTCGTTGAACTGTACGCTTAAAATTGCTGATTTTCACGGCATATAACCTCAATAATTGGGAGTTTAGAAAAACAAACTAAAGCAAGGCACAGTGGCTCATGTCTGTAATCCCAACACTTTGGGAGGCCAAGGCGGGAGGATTGCTTGAGACCAGGAGTTTGAGACCAGCCTGGGCAACATAGCAAGACCCCGTCTCTACAAAAAATTTTAAAAATTAGCCAGGCATGGTGGCACATGCCTATAGTCCCAGATACTCGGGAGGCTGAAGCAGGAGGATCACTTGAGCCCAGGTGTTGGAGGTTGCCATGAGCTATGATGATACCACTGCACTCTAGCCTGGACTACAGATAGAGATCCTCAAATTAAAAAAAAAAAAAAACAAACACCCAAAAAAAAAAACAAACACCCAAAAAACTAACTAAAGATCTGGAAGCAGGGGTCTTGCCTTCCTCCAAGGCAGTAGTCGGCCGGATCTGAGTGGTGGCTGGCCCTGTAGGTTGGGCAGTCACACTTCCCTGCCTATGGTTGGTCCTTCAAGTGTACCGTCAGATTTACACTGCTCTTCTGTTACAGTTAAGGGAAAGTTTTTTTCTCGAACCAGCTCCTGTCAGCATGTGAGTTGCCCTACGGGTAAAACCATGCTAGGAAAAAGCAAGAGAGAGGAGGGGGCTTCCCCCAGGGCTGTAGGGAGGAGGGAGGAGGGAGGAAGCTCGAGAGAAGTGTGTGGACCCCCAGAGCAGAGGACACACTGGTGACTCAGCTGCCCCACAGCCCCCAGGAGGTAGTATTTAGTGTCTAGGCACCCTCAGAAGACGTTCCTCTGCCCCAAGCATGACCAAGAGCTGCGGGAGCTCAGACAGGGACAAGGCACCTCTTAGCAGCAACAATAGGTTAAGCAAGCGCCCTGGGGGACCTCACGGAACCTGGGCTCCCCAGAAACAGTAGCCCAGCCTAAGCCCCCAGAACTGTGGCAAAATTCTGTAGAGGTCAGGGGAGCTGAAGTAGGACTGAGGTTAAAAGCTTCCCCCAACAAGCTGGTGGAACCCGCGTTCCGCGTCAGAACTCGAGTTGCGGCTGAGATGGGCAGAGGTGCACAGCCTCTACCTGCCTCGTGCAGGTCAGGAGCGGACATGCCGTTGGCTGGCGGTGTTAACAGCCAAGTCTTTTCAAACAGGCCTGGCCAGGAATGCGGGACTTGGCTTCCGACCCCTGCTCCTGTCCAGCGAACATCTGGCTTGAGGACTGTAAGTGACCCTGTCTGGGGCCCCCAACTTCCAGCCACAAAGTTAAAAGGGATGTGTGCATCTGACTGTTGCCTTGAGGCCTAATCGTTTCTTAAGGTGGCGATAGCCCACGCAGGTTAAATTACATAAAAAGAAAAAGTAACTTTTGAACATAATAAAAGACAATTGAATGAGGAAATGTATGTCATAGTTATAACCAGCAAAATCTGATTTGTCCAAACTACAGAAAGAATTGACAAGATCTTGAAGGTTCATGTTTATATCCTTCTTGTCAAGTATTAGGTCATTAAATATGAAATCTCTGATTTCTTTTTTCTGTTTTTTTTTTTTTTTTTTGACAGAGTCTCACTCTGTTGCCTGGGCTAGAGTGCCGTGGCGTCATCCTAGCTCACAGCAACCTCAAACTCCTGGGCTCAAGGGATCCTCCTGCCTAAGCCTCCCAAGTAGCTGGGACTACAGACATGAGCTGCCACGCCCAGCTAATTTTTTGTTTCTATTTTTAGTTGTCTAATTTTTTCCATTTTTAGTAGAGACAGGGTCTCACTCTTGCTCGGGCTGGTCTCGAACTCCCAAGCTCAAGCAATCCCCCAGCCTCGGCCTCCCAGAGTGCTAGGATTACAGGTGTGAGCCACCGCACCTGGCTGAAATGTCTCATTTCAAGTCAAGAAGAGTGTCAAAGTGAAATGTCAGAGATACCAACTGTCAAACTTAGTACTTAAGGAAATCGGACATTTCTTACTTAATAATCTAATACTAAGGGGGTGTGAACATGCATCTGTTTGTTTATTTGGAGAGTGAGGGTGCTTTTCTCCTACGATGTTTTTCAGGGGGCGCTTCCAAGACCACCGCCATCGGGAGCAAGGGGAGGCCTGGATGCTGGGATTTTAACAAGGGCCACAGTGAAATGAAATGAGTTAGTGTTTGTAAAGCGCTCGTCTTTACGTAACAACACTGGGGGGTGGTATGATTCAGGCTTTGGGATAGAAGTCCAGTAGGAATTCACAGGCTAAAAAACTCACCCTGGGAATGAAGTACAAGGAAATACCCCAAAGGGAGATCAAAGCACCCAAGATAAAGCATTCAGAATAGTGCTATTTAACCCGGCTGAAGAGCCCAACAACAGGAGAAAGAATGATTAAATTATCAATAGTTGTTCCCAAACTATGCCAGAGAGAGCCATTCTGCCGGTAAAATCAACTCATGACAATTTCCCTCCACTCTTCAGAGACATTAAGATGGACAGAATGTTCCCGATTTGAAGTTTTGTTGCACCTCCCAGAAGTTTCACTAAACCTCTGCTTATCTCCAAGGAACAGTGTCCTGTGCCCCCTACCCTGTCGAGGCCAGGTGGCAGGTCTGCAGCCAGACTGCCCAGTGGCAAGTCACAGCTCTGTCACTTACTAGCTGTGTGACCTTGGGTGAGTCTCTTCACCCCTAGCACCGTGGGCCTCAGTTTCTTCATGTGTAAAATGGGTTTAATAGTTCCCATCTCCTAGCATGGTTGTCAGGATTAATTGCCATAATGTATGGGAAGCTGTGTTATGTAATAAATGTGAGCTGCTGTCCTTATCAGAGCCTTGTAGAACTTGCTATTCCTCTCCATACAGATTCTCACATGTGGTTATTTCAGGCTGCTGAGACAGTGCTATTTTATGTCACAAAAAAGCATCGCAACATACCCTCTTGAACTGCTCGAGCTGCTCGGTGAGTTCCTCCACCGCCTGTGTGTGTTTCTGCCGCATCTCCTGGACCTGGGCCTCGTGGGAGCGGGTCTCCTCGTCCAGGGCCTTCTTCAGCATCGTCACCTCCTGCTCCCTCTTGGCCCTGGACAGGAAGAACACAGGGGATGGCAATCGGGTGGAGACGGAGGCTTCCCTCACACAGTGCTGTGCAAAGGAGCGAGAGCTCCGCCAGGACCCAGAGCTGAAATCCCATCACCACCCCACCCTAGCTGTGTGACCTTGGGTCGCTCACCTAACCTCTCTGGACCTGGAATTTCCTCAGTTGCAAAATGTGGAGCATGAGCATATTACATGCCCAGAATCTCTCTAAAGGCTGGCAAACAAATACACAAGGTAATATTATTGAAAGAATGTTTATAAACTGCAAAATGTTCCTCAAGTATTAATACTGGCTCTTATTTATTGAGCACTTACTATATGCCAGGTCTGAGCTAAGTCTTTATATATCTCATCTAATCCTCAGAGCAATCCTAAGAGGCAGGTATCTTACTATTTCCATTTTACAGATGAGGAAACTGAGGCTAAGAGAGGATGAGCAGCTTTACTCATGGTGTCACAGTGAGTATGTGATAGAGCCAGAACTTGAAGCCAAATAGCCCGACCTTGAGCCCATACTTTGAACACTGCACTAGGCTTTTCTGTATCGTTGGCCAGGTGGAAAGGGAAGAGAATATCGTGCTGGCCTCTGGGTACCTGAGGGTGATGTAGTACAAAACCCAAATTGTGGGAAGTAAACCTCAGGGTATATAGTGTTAGCAAAGCACCTGACACAGGATGCATCAAACCACATTTGTATGTTTGTTGAATGAATACATGACCTAGTTTCACTAGAGTCAGCATTCGTTATCTGGCAGGTGATTTGTTGTTGCTGTTGTCTGTTTATTTGAAGTGAATCTTAAACACATACTTGGAGATTAGAGCTTAAAGATTTACTTATACACACATGGAAAAACAGGAAGGAATTACTCAAAAATGCTAGCTATGGTGAGAGTAGGGCGATTTTCCTTAAATGTCAAATCGCTCTCTAGTTGAGTACGTACTATATCATGGTGCAAAATAAGATGGTTAGAAATATTCATGCTTCTATGAGTTATAGCAAAGTGCAAGCAGGAAGGTAGATGTGTAAGGCCTGGCAGGGGCGGTGGCCTCGCACCTGAGCTCTTGCTGGGTGGCCGTGCTGTCCAGCGTGTCCTCCAGCTCCGTCTTCAGGGCCTCCAGCTCCTCCCCGAGGTCCCGCTTCTGCTTCTCAGCCTTGTTCCTCGCGGCCCGCTCTGAGTCCAGGTCCTCCTGGAGGTCCGAGATGTGGCCCTCCAGCTCGCGGATCTTCTTCAGGGCGTTGTTCTTCTGAGCGATTTCATCATCGAGCCTGCCAGGGACGGACCCCCAGAATGAAGCCCCCAGGGCCCCTGGCCCCCTGTTCTCTCACAACGCCGGCCAAAAATTATTTTCTGGGATCAGGCACTTGCGTTGCATAGACATCGAAACACGTTCCACCCATGTCCCCAAGACACAGAGGACTGCTTCTTGCTACGTTGGACGGCTTGGAGATTTACACAGGACGTGAGTGCCAAGGGTCGTATGTGTGCGTGTGTGTGTGCGCTCACGTGCGTGTAAGAATGCAAGGCCTTGGCCTCACACTAGCAAGGTGCCCGGTGCACGGTAGGGGCTTTATAGATGTCTTCTGAATGTCGGGAAGTTATTTTTCCCTGGCTTTATTTGTCCTTTCTTTGCTCGGTGCCCGAGTACCCACCCGCTCCATGCACAGCGCCTGGCCAGGCACTGCCTGGGGATGTGTTCAAACCAGGGCCCCCTGTCTGGTGGGGGCAGCGACCGCAGGTCAGGGTGGGCTGTGAGAAGCCTCATTCAAGTGGCAGAGCTTCTGGAAGGAGAGCTCCCTCCCGGCATGGGGTGGAGCTGACATCTGGGTTTGACCACGATGGACGGAAAGGAACAGCTTGAGGGAAGGCACAGGGGCGGGAGAGAGGGAAGCACTGGGTTTGACCGCTCAGCACCAAGAGGGAAAGCGAATGGCTGTGTTGGGCGAGACCACAGAGGGCGGGCAGGCTCCCAGGGCCCAGCTACACAAACTGGCTTTTCCCGAGTAAGCTGGAGAAGGGTTACGAGCAGCTTCACACCCCAGAGTGACGTTGTACCCCATCACCCTGGTACTGTCACGCAGCACAGATTCGGAGAGAAAGGGCAGCGCCAGGGCATCAGCGAGAAAGCGCTGGGGCTCGAATCCCAGCTCTGCCTCTTACAAGCACAGTGACCCTGCACCCGCCCCTTCCCCTCTGGGAGGCTCAGCTCCCTCCCCAGTGGAGGAAAGGTGTCTGCAAAGATACTGCCAGAAAGCAGTACTTAGCAGCGCGTGAGCAGGTAACAGTTCCTCGTTGCTGCTGCAGTATCCCCAGTGCGAAGCCATTAGCGTGAGGCCAGCTAAGAGCCAGGAAAAGGGAACAGCAGAGGAAACAGGTGGGGACACACTTCGAAGGACTGGCAGAATCTGAGGGCTGCCGTGTGCCATGGGTGGGCGGAGACTGACATTCACAAAAAGAGAGGTCTCTGAGGAAGGGGGCTGGGGGACAAGGTCATGCCAGCCTTAGACACAGGGCATTAGAGATGCCAATGGAAACAGGCTCATTGGGCAACTGGAAATTCAGAACTGGGACGTAGACAAGAAAATCCTGGGCACCTAAGATGCAGCAGTGACGCCGTGGTGGAGGGGAGACTGACCACCAAGAGAGGATGCATTTGGAGGGAAGAGAAGAAAGTCAACGGCTTGGATGTGGGGGTGTGAGCAGGGCTGTGGGGTTCGCAGGAGGCCTGGCCTGGGAAATGAAGTCTGTGCCAAGGGCCTGGGGCCGCCTCGACCAAGGTAGCCACTGGGAGTTGGCAGGTGCCCTTGGGACGCCCCGCCCGCTGCCCACTACCTGGCCAGGGCCGCCTGCAGCTCCTCCTCCTTCTTGGCGAGCTGCATCTTGAGCTCTGCGATCTGCGCCTGGAGGTCAGCGATCTGCTCGTGTAAGTCACTGGCGTCACCCTCCAGCTTCCGTTTCAGCTTCTCCAGCTCCTGCCGGCTCTTCTCCTCCTTCTTTAGCCGCACTGCAATAAAGCCAGGGGCTCTCCAGGAGAGGGGACCACCAGAAAGACGCCTGGCAACGAGCCTTCCCGCTCAGGCATCTCACGCAGAGGAAATTCACATCCTCCCCCCGTAACCGGCACGGCTGGCCCGTGACCTGCGAGGAAAGGCAGTCTTGGCGAAAAGCGCCATCTATTACTAATGTGACTGTCGACTAGGGGTGATTTGGGGAGTTTTGATAGGGTTATCCCCCTTGTGGAATAATCTGCCATTCTCAAATTTCCCTTCTGATTTCCCTGGTTTTAAAAATACCCACTGGAAACCTCTTCGGGGAGCTGGTTTACCTTCCAGTTCTGAGATCATAGATTCATGCTTGTTCTTCAGCTTGGTGAGATTCTTAGCCTTTTCTTCCTCTTCTGCGAGATTTGTTGTTAAGTCACTAATCCTCTCTTCGAGGAGTTTTCGCTCCTTTTTTGGGAAAGAGAAAGAAATGTCATTAGCTTTTATCTTTTCTCCAGGATGTAGGTTTCACTTTGAGTAATTCCATATAAACGGTTGAAAGAAAAACCCACGTTATAACCAAAAGCAACCTGGAGTTTTAGGTGGTAAAGAGAAGTTCCTTCGTAATTCCCCCAAATCGGCCATTTCTCATCTCATGCCAGTCTGTCTCTCACATTGCACGTTCAACTGAAGGGGTCCCTCTTTCCATTCCTGCCAATGCCAGCTCTTCCCTGCCTCAGGGCCTTTGCACAGTGGGCCAACTGGCTGAGATGCTCTTCCACTCCCCTCTCTCTAACCGCTCTTCAGGTTTCCACTTAAATGCCACCTCCTCCAGGAAGCCTTCCCTACCCTTCCTCTACCTCCTGGTACTCCATCTTACAATACGGTGAACATTTCCTTCCGAACCCTAATCATGACGGTAATTCATGGTTATTTGCCGTCTCAATAGAGTAACCCCCACTAGGGCGGGGTCCTCCTTCACCGCGTATGCACTGCACCTCACACAGGGCCTGGCTCACAGCAGGGGCCCAGCTGAGATTCAGCTCAAAGAACTAAAACGAGCCCACCATCGTTGGGCTGGTTAGTGATTACCGACTAAGGGTGACTAACTCGTCCTGGTTTGCTCAGGGCTTCTCTGCTTTTAATACTGAAAGTCCCACATCCCCAAAACCCTTCAGTCCCTGGCGAGCCTGTCGTTTTTAATGCAGAACCTGGAGCCCACTCACTTTGGACAGTTTATTGTTCTGATCATCCATGACCAGGATCTCATCCTCCAGCTTCTTGATCTTGGCCTCAGCTGTGACCTTCTCAAGTTGCAGCTTCTGCCTGGCAGCTTCCTCCTCCTCCAGCTGTTCTTCCAGGTCCTTTGTTGGGGAGGGAAGAGAATCACAGCCCTGCTTAAAGCAAAGTCACTCTCATGGAGATCTGGGGACTAATGGACACAGAGGCTGGGCCTGACGACACTTCTGTAGTCTCCTTCCAAGAAGAAATAAGAGGCTTGGGTAAGCTACTTTGCTTCATGGAGCCTCAGTCTCCCCATCTGTAAAATGGGGATAGTAGGTATCCTGGTGGTTTTAAAATGTACCCACAAATTCTTTGATACTCTTCCCTTCAAGAGGTAGAGCCTAATTCCCTTCCTCTCCTGTGTGGGCTGGATTTAATATCTTCCAACAAATAAAACTAGGAGAGGGTGATGGAGTATAACTTCAGAGATTATGCCATAAAAGGTATTGTGGCTTCCTCCCCTCCTATCTCTCGGATCACTCCTTCTGGCGGAAGTCCTCCGCCATTTTGGGAGCACACTCAAGCAGCCCTGTGGAGACGGCCTTATGGTGAGGAACTGAGACCTCCTGCCAACAGCAATGTGAGTGAGCTGCACGGAAGTGGGTCTTCCAGCCCCAGTCAGGCCTTCAGATGACTGCAGCCCTAGCTGACATCTCAACTGCCACCTCACGGGAGACCCTGAACCAGAACAACCCAGCAAAGCCACTCCCAAATTCCCTTGTGAGATATATATTTGTTATTTCAAGCTGCTACATTTGGGATGTTTTGTTACGCAGCAATAGCTAACTAATACAATCACCTTTCACACAGGGTTGCTATTAGGAGAAAAGGTACCAGCACACCAAAGGCAGGGCAGTAGAGCAGAATGGGCTCTCAAGGAGACCCGTGTTCAAATCCCAGCTCTAGCTTTGTGGCCTTGGGCTGATGGCCATCCCTGTCCAAGCCTTAAGTCTCTTCATTTGTCCAGCAGGGACATGTATCATCAGATGCATCTCACAGGCCCCCAGTGAGGGTCAAGTGATTTGCTACCCACCACGGGCAGCCCCCATGATGCCTTACCAGCATCTGCTGGGCCATCTTCTTCCTTTCGGCCTGCAGCTGCTGGCCCCTGTCCTCCTCCTCCTCCAGGCGGGCCTCCATCTCGTGCAAGATCTCCTCCAGCTCCTGCTTCTTGGCCGCCAGCCGCACCCGCATCTCCTCGGCCTCAGCATACAGCTCTGTCTCTGCCTGCAGCTGCTCCTGCAGCAGGTTCTTCTCCTCTGCCAGCTGCACGTGGAGGGTGGGGAGAAGGCTGGTGAACCCCCAGGGGACCATGTCCTGCCACCCCGTCCCCACAGCCCCAGCCGTGCACCCCCCGCCCCCGGGTACCTGCGAGTGCTTCTGCTCCAGCTCCTTGAGCTCACTCTCCGCCTTCTGCTGCCGCTCCTTGGTCTTCTGCAGCTCGTCCTCCTTGGCCTGCATCTCCTCCTCCTGCCGCGTCACCTGCAGCAGCGGCTTCACCTGCGCACACACGGCCAGCCCATCGTTTGTTTTGGCGGCAAAGCGATATGCTTGCATAATAAACTCGATCGGTGGTTCTGAGCTGGGGACGATTTTTCCCCACGACCCCCTCCCAGAGGGCACACTGTCTGGAGACACTGCTGGGTGTCACCACGGGGGGAGAGAGTGCTCCTGGCATCTAGTGGGTGGAGGTCGGGGATGCGCTAAACATCCTGCAACGCACAGGACGGTCCCCACAGCATAGAATTATTCAGTCCGAAACATCAACAGTGGCTAGATTGAGGGACTCGAAATTAGAGCAACAGAAAAAGGTACAACATGAAGGGAGAAGGGAGGCGGTTCTCTACTTTACAGCCGCCTGAAGTGAGAACGACTGCTGAAAATTGATGTTTCTTTCCAAGGACAAAAGGAAAAAAAAAATCCTTCGCGTCGTACCTCCCTATCACAGTCATTATTAGAACTCTTGCATTTCCTTCCAGATTCTTTTCCTGTGTTTAAAAACTACACTTGAAATCGTACTGCCTAGCATCATGGGCTGTTTTTATCAGTTAAAATGATAAGATATTTATCACCTCATGCTGTTGCATCATTTTTACAACTTTCTATGTAGGTCACCATTGTTTTTTGTTTTTTTTTTTCCTGACAGCTTTGTGAAGCCCAAGCCATCGTTTTTAATATTGAAAAGCACCCCCTTGGTGGAGGGGCCACCATTGAACTCATCCGTCTGCCAGTGCTGGACATAGCAGTTCCGCTACTATACACAAGGCCGTGAGGAATGCCCTTAATTCCTGATTTCCTTTATTTAAGACAGTTTTCTTAGGATAGTTTTTCAGAAGTTGGGTCAATGAGGATGGTGTTTCCAAAAAGCAGCAACCCCGCCGTCCTCCCCTGGGCCGACTCCTAACTCCTTATTCTCAAGCCCTGTGTGGCACCAGGACGTCCCCGCTGTGGACACGGTGGCTTCCTTCACGCACCCATCACTTTGCTGCTGTGGGTTTTCTTTCTGTGATAATCTGCTCATTGTCGGCTTCCCCAGCCGCCTAGAACGTGCATGAGGCCAGGGACCGCACCGTCTGTTCACAGCCGTATTCCCAGCCTCTAGCACGTGCCTGGCATACAGTAGGCGCTCACATAAATATCTGCTCAGTGAAAAAGGTTTGTGCCAATTTGCGCACTCAAGGGCACATGAGAGGAAGCCTGGTCTATGGCAGCAGAGCTTGTCTTTGTGCCACTGGGATGGTGCAACCTGTGACACCGCAGGGACCAGTTGTGCCCAGGGCCTTGCCTCCACCGGCAACGAAGAGGAATGCACCAGTGACACGCGCAACAATCGGGCTGGCGCTCGGAGAACCATGCTGAGTGACAGAAAGCCAATCCCGAATGGTAGCGTCCTGTATGACTCCAGTTACGTAACGTTCTGGAAACAGCAAAATCATAGACACGGAGATGGGCTACAGACGGAAGTGGGTGTGGCTACGGCTACACAAGGGTAGCAGGAGAGACCCCAGCAGCGACAGACAAGCTCTGCATTAAGGTCGCAGCTGTAACCCGCATGCCAAAGGGGAAGGGCCTCGTCGGGCCACGGGCAAAGTTCGAGTCCCACACCCACTTTGGACCATGTCCTGCCCCACGTCCGGAGTGTCCGGAGCGAAGAACCAGGGCTGGGGCTTGGGAGGAGGCAGGGTGGCCTCCGGGAGGGGGCCGGGGCTCCACACTGACCTTGGTGAAGAGCCGCCACCACTGCCAGTTCCGCAGCTTGAGGTAGGCGGCGCAGTTCCTCTGAATCACCTTCATGGCGGTCAGCTGCTGCTGCCTCTTAGCGAAGGCCCTGGGGCAGAGGGAGGCAGGGCGTGAGGCCCCCCCGTCGTCCACAGCACCCTGAACCGCACGGGGACATCCCCTGTGCTCCCCAGCTCAGATGCTTCTGGAAGCTCTGAGCATCAGCACAGGTATGTTGCCCGGGCACAGACCACTTCGTAGTCTAAAGGCGAGAGCTTTTCTTAGGGGGCCAGGAAGGCCCAAGGCTCCCCCAGTGCCCTGGACTCGGAGCTGTGATCCCAACACACCTGGGAAACCAATGTCCTGCACACCCCCAGCTGTGCCAGCTGCTGCTGACACAACTCGCCTTTCCTCAGCTGCGTTTCGGAAATCTCAGACCCTAACGCTGAACCAGCACTCTTCCCGTTTAAGGGCTACTGAGTTTGAGAAGCCACAGAATGGGGAGCATGACCCTATTTTCTCTGCTCAGCTGCTGCTTGGGACGTGGGTGAACTTCAAGAATAAAATCACCCCGGTTATTTTGGAGGCAGGAGGGATGGCAACGGAATTGAGTTATGAAACTTGGCAAGTTAGGGGTCTGTTGCTGGACTGAGAGCTCCCTGGATGTGGCCTTAACCATCCGGATGGATCCACTCAGCAATGCATCTGGTTGATAGACTCGGGGCTCTGCGGCTGAGGGCACAGTCTGTCCCCAGCGACAACACACACTCTGGACAGACAGACAGCTACTCCACCAGCCCCTGAGGTCCTCTTCAGGGTGTGACCTTCATTGAGGAACCTGAGCCCGTGCCTGGCCCCAGGCTTCACAAAACGGATGGGGCATCACACGTTTGAATCCCATTTGGACATTGGGATATAGATACAGCCAAATACTCTTTCCTCAAATACTGTATCATATTCTAACACTTCTGAAACGATAACCAGGCACCATTCTAAGCCCTTTCCCTGCGTTATCTCATCGACTCCTGATGAACAATTCCATGAGGTAGGAAAAATAATGCTCATTTTTCAGCGAAGAAACCTGCAGCTCAGAGAGGTCGAGTAACTTGCCTAAGGTTCATCAGCAAATTAAGTCAGGGAGCCAGGACAAGGACCCAGGTTTAAAACTCCAGAACCCATGGTCATAACTTGTTCCCGCCCTGCACTCATAACTGGGGCATTCACTTAAAGTGGAGGCATTTCTTCCCCCTCGAGAGGAGGCTGCCATTCAGTCCATGGTGCCCCTAAAAAGCAGACAGCCTCTTAGAATCGGGGAATCAGGACACGGGGCCAGAAAGCCCCCCGAGTATCTGTGACTCTGGCTGTGTTTGTGGGGAGGTTTTAGGATGTAGGAAGCCATCTTTACTTTCTGGCCAGGTAGCCGCGACACATCGCCTGGAAGGCCATGATGACATCTGTGATCTTCAAGTCTCGTTCCTCCTCCAGGTGGGCCAGAACCCCCGTGCGGAAGAAGATCTTGCTCTGCCCAATCCTGTACAAGTTGGGGTCGAGTTCCAGGGCTTTGATCTGCAGATAGAAGGGAGAGAAGGGCTCATGTTTGCAGCTGCACCACTTGGCCAGTGGTGCGGGGCGTCTAGCAGGGTCCTTCCCGGAGCAGCAGCCGGCAGCGTGGCCAGAGGGCAGGAGGTCACGGTCGGATTTCGGGGCTCACCATGAGGATGCAGGCCTGCTTTCCGTCCATGAAGCCTTTGGGGATGGCATTCGCCGCCAGGATCTCGTAGCTTGAAACACAGGGCAGAAGTCACCAAGCGCGCCCCAGCGCCCGTCCCTCCGCCCCACCTGCGCCGGGCCGCGGCTCACCGTTGGCGGAACTCCTGGAAGACGATCCTGTTGGGGAAGCCCTGCCGGCAGATGCGGATGCCTTCCAGCACCCCGTTGCACCGCAGCTGCTCCAGCACCAGGAACGCGTCCAGCTTGCCGGACTGCAAAGGCAGGAGAGGGCAGTGGGCCCACGGGGCCGGCTCTCAGAAGCAGCAAGCCCCAGATCTCACACCTGGATGGCCCGCCCCGCTAGGCCACGGGGGCTAGCCCAGGCGCGGGCTCGCTGGGCGTAAGGGGCAGAGCAGCGCACCCTCTCTGGGGTTCATCCCCTCTCTTTGGTGCTGGTTATCCCGTGATCTCTCTTGCACTTGGTGGCACTAACATCCCCTGGCTGGAAACAGCCTTCCTCCTTGTCACCGCCTCTCCCTCACTTCCTGTCCACCGCTGGTTCTAGGGCTGCTACCTCCCACATATCTCCCAGTCCACCCACTGCTCTGCCCCTCCACCGTCTCCACTATCCACTCGCCACCACGTGCTCCTGCCTGGACAACCACGACGACCAGCCCTGCCTCTCCCTCTGTCCCCTCGTTTGGTCTAAAACCTAAATCTGATCATATCCCTGCTTAAACACCCCCAGTGGTGTCCCCAGAGAAGGCCACACTCTGTCAGCACCCAAGGAGCTCCGCGATCCAGCCCCTGCCTCCCCGGTCCGCCTCATCTCGCCCAGTCCCTGCCTCACACCTCACGTGTCAACACCCAAGATGACCCGCCTAGCGTTTTCTTGCCCGGATCCTTCATTTCTCACCCTACGTTCCTGCTCATCCCGGGCCCTGCACTCCACCGAGCTGAGGCCTATCGCTCTCAAAGTTCACGTTCGCCAAGAAGCTTCCTCGGAGCCCCGAGGCTGGGGAAGGGGCTCTGGCTCTTTGGTGTCCTCGTAATTGACCACGTTGTACCGCGGTTGTCAGCTGCGTGTCTCCCTCTCCCCCTGGGTCTCCCACAACCTCAGCACTACTGACATCTTGGGGGCGGGGATAACTGTCTGCTTTGGGGGCGTCCTGTGCACTGTAGGACGCGTAGCACGTCCCTGGCCTCGACCCACGAGAGGCATCCCCCCCTCCAAGTTGTGACAACCAAAAATGTCTCCAGACATAGCCAAACGTCCTCTAGAGGACATGACCGTCCCCAGCTGAGATCCCTGCCCTAGATCACAAGCACCCACAGGCGAGGACCACAGTTTACCCAGCGCTGTATCCCGAGCACCCAGCGCAGGGAGGAGCTCAGTAAATATTTGCCGGGATAATGAATGAATGAATGAATGAATGCATGGCCGAGTGCCCTGTACGGCAGCTCCCTGGCTGGAAAGCCTCTGGATATACTCTCCCTTCCTCTCCTGCCTCCTTTTGCCTTCAAGGTATGGTTCCTAAGTTCACGACCTTCCACCCATGGCAGATGGAGCCGGAGTGGGCAACAGTCCCTGGGGATGGTCTGACCGCTCAGGACACCCCGAGCTGGGAGCCCCGGCAGCGGCCGGCAGGCCTCACCCTCTTCTCGTGGTTGGGGATGATGCAGCGCACGAAGTTGGGCGTGGTGTTGCGCAGCGTGGTCATCAGCTTCCCCAGCTGCTCCTTGTACAGCTGCCCCACCGTGCGGAACATGCCCTTCTTGGTCTTGGAGGCGCTGGGCAGCGAGCTCTCCGTCATCTTGGCCATCTGGTCCAGCCCCACGATGCGGTCCACTGCGGGGCACGGCAGGAGCAGCGTCAGCCTGTGGCCCACCTGGTCTCCCACCCCGCACAGCCAGAGGACAGGGCCGAGGGCCGGGGGCCGGTGGCGTGGGGTGGGGAGCTCCACATGGAGAATACGCTCTGGGAGCCCCGGGTCCCCTCAGTGGGCACCGCCCCCGTCCCTCTGCAGCGGGTCAGGGGAGGCACGTGGGGGACGGATCTCTCAGTGCTGTGCATTCGGGAAATCCCGAGAGCACCCGAGTGGCAGAAAGAACAAACTCCCTCTGATGCTGTCACGGAGACCCGGGGGACAAGCCTGCTCTTGCTGTTGACTCACCTTGGCCTCTACCGTCTTGTGCCTCAGTTTCTCTTTCTACAACTGAAGGTAATAAAGCATCTACCTCCCAGGGCAGGAACAAGCAAACAAGGCACGCAAAGTGCTCACTCCCTGCCAGCCTCCGATCCTCCCTCCACCAACAGTCAGTCATTGAGAGACCCTCGCGTGCCAGACCCTGGGGACACCCCTCTTCCCCCATTACATTGTGTAGATATCTAACGGAAGGAGATAGTGACCACATACATGAGTCTAGAATATTCCAAGCTGTGCTCAGGAAAACAGAACAGGGTAAGGGGGGAGAGAGAGATGCTGTCTTCGATAAGGTTGGGGGATTCTGTCTGACTAGCTGGTATTTGAGCAGAGAGCAGGAAGAAATGAGTGAGTGACCACACAGGTATCCAGGAAAAGAATATTCTAGGAGGAAGTTTCAGCAAACTCTCCAAGATAGGAACCCGGTACGTTAGTAAGTATTCGACAAACAGTAGGTATTATTGTTGTTATTACGACATTCTTTGCCTTTCAGAACAGAAGGGAGACTTCCACCAGCCCAGCAGGTGCTGTGCGTGCGCCAAGCCCAACCCACCAGCCTCGCACTGCGCTGTTTCTGCGCCTTGTACTCAGTTGGGTTCCGTGTGATGATCTCTTTGCGTGACTGTCTGTCCCACAAGACTGCCGGCTCCTCGAGGGGAGGCCCTGGCTGGGTTCATTGTGAGCCCCAGGGGTGACACAGCCCCAGGGTGAGACGCGGTCACCCAGGCCGGGGCCTGGCACAATGGCTGGCACTCAGTAAATGTTGGCACGGCTGGTGCCCCCTTGCAGTATTTTCCAGCCTAAGGCAAGGCAGGCCAGGCCTGTACGCCCCAGGCCTTCAGGCTCTGTGCCAAGAATGAAACCTACTGTGGACGCTGAGAGCGGGCACAGAACCGGCGAACCCCACCGCCTCCAATCCTCACTACGGCAGCGCCTCACGGCGACCCTCGGCTCACCGGTTCTCGAAGGGAACCAGAGTGTGGTCCCCAGACCAGGAGTAGAAGCATCGCCTGGGAGCTTGTTAGAAAGGCACATTCTCAGGCCCCACCCGCCCCTGCGGAGTCAGAACCTCCGCCCAGCGACCTGGGGTTCATGCAACAAGCCCTCCGGGCAATCCTGGCGTGTGCTCGGGTTTGAGCACCTCTGGGCTAATTTAACCCCCACAGTACGCCAAGGAAAGGCAGAACTATTATTCCCCCAGTTTTACTAATGAGGATTTGAAAGCTTAATGACACTAAGTGACATGTCCAGACCACACAGCTAGCAGGTGGCAGAGCCCAGACGGAAGTGAAGTCCTTCTGCCTCCAGCTGGGGCGGTGCAGTTCCCCACGCCTGGCGCGCTGTTTCTGCCGCCTGCTGCCTGAGCCCTCACCGCAGGACCTTCTCCCTGGGGTCCCATGTGGGTGGAGGGGCTGGGGGCCCCCACTCAGGAAGAGGTTGGATGATTCAAGAGGACGTCACAGCACGCGCCACCCCCATGCACAGGGCTCCCCTTCCGGGGCAGGTGTGGAAGCGGCGGGGGCTGGACAGGGTGGAGGACTTGGGCGTTTCGCTCTCCAGCTCAGAGCGCCTCCGGAACGGGGGGCAGGGGGCCCTCACCGTCCTTCCACAGGTCGGCCACAAACTTGTCGGAGGAGGCGTTGAGGAGGGAAGTCACGTTGTCGTTCAGCGGGTCCATGTTCTTGGTCAGCCAGGCACTTGCGTTGTAGTCCACCTGCCGAGGGCCCCCCACCGGTCAGATGGCCTCGCTTCTGAAGAAGCCAGGATTGGTTGCAGCGTATTAGACAGGCTAAATCTTGGGCCTTACGGATGCTCTGACAACTCGTACATAGGACTTGGTTGGGATCTGACGTGTATCAGACGCCTGTGGCGTTCCCAGCCAGCCCTGGGGTCCTGCCGTTCCCAAATTTCTCCTGCTCTGAGCGCCCGCCCACTCAGGCACCGCGGCTGGTACCTTCCCAGCATAGTGGATGATGGAGAACTCGGTTTTGTCCTTGAGCTGCTTGGGCTTCTGGAACTTGGGGTGGTTGCCCTGCTCCGTGCACAGCTTCTCCACGAAAGACTTGTCCGTGGCTTTGGGGAACCAGCACTCCTCGTCCAGCAGGGCCAGCACACCTGGGGGGTTGTTCTGCGGGAGACAAGTAGGGCCGGTCAGAGGGAGGCACAGGGCACCCGAGCCTGCGGTCTGCCAGGACAGCTGGCCACGCGCACGCAGCGCACAGGCATCCGCGAGCTCTGTCGCTGTACTTGCCCACATATAAACACGGGTCTATACCCCCCACGCCCCCAAGTCTAGCCTTAGCTTCCCCTGTGGCCAGTGGACCAGTACAGGGAATGGAAGGCAGTGCTAACAACAGATCACGATGTTTGCTGCCGCGCCCATGGGCAACACACACACACACACACACAGACACACACACACACACACACACACACCCACAAAGATTTCCCAATTCTTGCAAACTAATTCATTGCTTGACTTACACCTCTCCTTAGGGCTCCTGTGAGTAAAGCACTTCCTTGTGGCTGAGACAGTCTAAACTAAGGTGTCAGGAGCACCATCAGATTTGTGCATGCCGTTCCCTCTGCTGGAATGGTCTTTAATTTTTGGACTCAGCCTCAGAGAACATTTCCTGACTGCTCTGTCCAAAGTGGGCCTCCCTAAATCATTCTCTGCGTTGGCCTTACTGGGAATGTTAGTGGCTTTATTTGTCTGGTTTTGTTGTCTGTTCCTCCAGGAGGGCAGAGACAATGTCCACCTCATTTATGGTTATATCCCCAGCCCCTTAAAGAGGGGCGGGTAGCACATAGTAGGTGCTCAGTAAACATCTATTCAATAGTTATTAATTGTTCACCTGCTATGTGCATGGTTCTAGGAGTTTGGGATACATCAGTGAACAAAATGAAGACTGCTGCCTTTGGGAATGAATGAATGGGAGCGAGAAGGGAAAGAAAGAGATGGAAGAAAGGAAGGAAGGGAAAAAGGAAGAAGGAAGACAAGAAAGGAAGGAAGGGGAGGGGAGATATAAGGAAGAGAGAAATAAAGAAAGAAAATACCACTGACATTAAGACGTGGATTAACAGAAATTATGATTTAGTTCACCGAGATTCAGTTTATAGCCTTTCAGGGCTTGGTGATGGGGGAAGCCGCGGACGTGGAGACAGTGCAGCGTCGCATGTCCGCTGAATGAAGGCCGCACATGAGTGTAAGTGTGACGCGGGCCACACACGCCCACGTGGCCCTCACCGGCCGCTCGATGAGCTCGATGCAGGGCTGCAGGTCCAGCCCGAAGTCGATGAAGTTCCACTCGATGCCCTCGCGCTGGTACTCCTCCTGCTCCAGGATGAACATGGTGTGGTTGAAGAGCTGCTGCAGCTTCTCGTTGGTGTAGTTGATGCACAGCTGCTCGAAGGAGTTCACCTGAGCACACGGTGGGGAGGGGGGACGTGAGCATCTCGTGCGAAGTCAGAGGACGGGGAGCCCCAGGGAAGCTCCACCCCAGACAGCGCCCCACGGCCCGGACAGCCTCTCCACAAGCTCCCGTTCTGCCTTCTCCGCGCCCAGAGTGGGCTTGGGCCCCAACTCATGCTGCCTAGAGCCCACCAGTGCGGGCAAGATTGACCTCTTCCCACGTGCGTGACCCCTTCACACCTTGTTTTAAGGACGTTCCTCTCTTCTATCTCTGCAATGATCTATGGCTAGAATAACCTCGTAAAACACGTTACCACCTGCATTTTACAGATGAGGAAACTGACACTCAGAGACTGAGAGTAACTCTGCAGTGGGCATCTTTTCAGATATCTGTCCATCCGAAGACCTTTCCTTTCTCTGAGAACTTTCCTCCAATCCATGGGTATGGGACCCAATGTTCACGTTTATGCTACATGAAGTACTGCAAGATCCTGAGAATAGTGCTTGGCTTGGAGGTGACAGTGTGGGGCCCAACTCAGGTGAGTAAGAGTCAAGGAGACCCAATTCCAGGATTTGGGTTGGAAATGTTGGAGAAGAGATGTGCTCTTTTTTGCCAGGATTACTGAGAGGCAGTCTGGACCTGTGGCAGCCACTTTGCCACCATGAGGAGAGAGCCAGCTTGAGGGTACAGCCATACGGAGGGAGGCAGACAGAGACGGCAGGAGAGCAGGCCCTGCCTACGGGATCCCGTGGGACCTCCAGCCGTCTCGGTTTCACAGGGTAGTGTATTCCCTGCTGGATTTCTGTCTCTTACGCTCTCGAGGATCTAACCTTAACTAGAAAGCCTCCCAGCCTTTTGGGGCCACCTGCCTGCCTTTCTCCAGAGTCATGGGTTCTCCCAGGGAAAGCCTCAGCCCGGAGAATGAAGACCACGGCTGTCATGAGCCCACCAGGCTGTACCTCAAAGATCTCAAATCCAGCAATATCCAGGATCCCTAGGAAGGAAGCCCCTTGCCGATGGGTCTTGTCCAAGGCTTTGTTTACACGGCTGAGTATCCAGCGGAAGAGGCGCTCGTAAGTGGCCTTGGCCAAAGCCTCGACGGCAAAGTCGGCCTGCAGAGGAGAGTGAGGGAGGGGAACACAGTTATTCCCAATGGGCTGCGTTTTCGCATGAGCCAGGCTGGTGGTTCAGATTTTTATTCTCCCCCTACCTATCATCAGTCCTTAAAAAAATAAACAGGCTGGGCACAGTGGGTCACGCCTGTAATCCCAGCACTTTGGGAGGTTGAGACGGGAGGATTGCTTGAGGCCAGGAGTTTGAGACCAGCCTAAGCAATAGAGTGAGACCCCGTTTCTACCAAAAATACAAAAATTAGCCAGCTGTGGTGGTGCGTGCCTATAGTCCCAGCTACTCAGGAGGCTGAGGCAGGAGGATCCCTTGAGCCCAGGAATTCAAGGTTGCAGTGAGCTATAATGATGCCACTACACTCTAGCTCAGGTTACAGAGTATCTCAAAAATAAATTAAAAAAAAAAACAAATAAAAAAGGGAAGTTATACCATCTCTATAATCAGCAGGAAAGTAGCAGTAAGAGATAGAGTGGTCAGACCTAAGGAATGACCATAAAGGTAATTTAACACTTCCTATCAGAGGGACTGTTGAACCCGCTCCACCCCAGGGATCATTTAGAAGGAGTCATCCCTGCCTCTAGAAAAGGTACATGGTTATTTCCATAGATAAGTCTCTTAGGACAGACCTAGTACCTACAACTAAGAGATCAAGATAAGGTCATGAGGGAAGTGCTCTGTTGCTCTTGTTAAGCAATGGGTCCTTCAAACCTGACATGGGACTTGGAATGTTCCAGTATCTGATGGATGAGGGATAAAGAGATGGATGGGTAGATGGACAAACAGATGGACAAATGAAAAGATGGGTAGATGGATGGATAGAAGGATGGGTGGATGAATGGATGGATAGATGAATGGGTGGTTGGGTGGGTGCATGGATGGGTGGGTGGATGAATGAGTGAGTAGGTGGAGGGAGGGAGGGAGGGAGG